CTTGCAGCTACTTTGGAGCTAAGAGGGAGCTTTGGGTTAAACTAACACCATGGAATGCAGAGCAAAAGACAGGCAAAACCTGGGCCATTGAAAGCTGCAGGAGCAAGCCACACCTGAGGTCCACCCTGCCCTTCTCACTTGCAAGGGGTCATAAATTGACTTTATCCTTAAAACCTGTTGGAATTGACATCTCTATTACCTGTTGCCCAAAGCCCCCTAACAATGCTAGCAACACCTTCACTTCACAGGTGGGGTAAATGTGAGGAAACTGGGGCTCAAAGATATTGGGTGACATGCCCCACATAGCAGGGCTGAGATTCAACCTGCAAACTCTCACAAGCACAAAGCCCATGCCCTTAGCCTCCCAGTCTTACACCAGCTTGTGAGGTGCAAACTCTAGCTATTCCCTGGGTTAGGGACCTCCGTGTCACCTGTCACTTTCTTTCTATCAGAACTGCGGCAGGAAAGTAGGGATTCGGGTGCCCAAGGGGTAAGGCCGAAGCAGAACAGCAGGTGCAGCCAGTTCGAGGTACACAGCCTCATTCCTATGCTGACAAGACCGAAGTTTCCATTTCAGCCTCTGATTGGTCACAGGCCAGTCCTTCATATGGTGTGACTAATTGGAGGCTTCTAAGGGCGCCTAGGGTGTTACCAGATTCTTTTAGCTTAATAGAAACCCTAAAGAACATTGTCTTGGGGCTCCTGAGCTGCCTGCTGCAGCCAGCTCCCACCCTGTGGAGTGTAGTTTAGCTTCAATATATTGTACTTGCGTTACGTTATTTTGTTGCTTTCTTTGTCTTTCCTTGCTTCCTTCTTTTGTTGCTTTGTTTGTGCGTTTTGTTTAACTGTTTTTTCAACACAAAGAACCTGAACAACACCCAGTCAAGACCCTTTATCCGGTAACAGAACTGCTTTGGTGTCCTGGTGTTGCGAGTGAGGATCTACAGTCCTTGATAAGGGGAATGATTTCTGCCCACCCAAGGCTCAACAGTCCGGTCGCAGGGCCACCCCGCAGGACCCATGGCTCCCCTCAGTGTCCACACCTCAGTGCCTGCCCCTCTGGTGCCCACCCCACTCCCTGCACGCCTCCCGTGCCTGGTCATGATTGCCGGGGTGCATGGACCTCTGATAACTCAGAAGGGCACCCAGGCCAGAGGCATGTCGGTGCTGTGTCCCTTGTGGAGCCTGCGGAGTCACACTGTCCCCTCCCTCTAGTCCTCAGCGCTCCTCCCAGGAGTCCCACCTCTCACAGGCCATCTCCTGCCATGGGGACAAGCCTCGCAGAGTCAGCCTGTCTGGGCGATTGTCCCTACACCCAGAAGCTCTTGGGGATCCCCAGGGCTCTCCTCGGCTCCTTCTCCTCTGACAGGCCTCTGCTGTGTGCCCACAGCAGGGCATTCACCAGAACCTGTGCACAGACCCCAGCCCAGGGCCTTTGCTCTGCCAGGGCAAGGTGGGGTCAGCTCCAGATCAACACAGACACCAGCAGTAGCAGGGGTGGACAAGAGGTCAAGCCTGATTCATTGAATGACGACTCCCCAGTCCACGCAGTCATCACTCCAGCCATGTTTCTGACCACATTTTGAAATCTGCCAGGAGACAGGGGCCAGACTCTCGCCCCTTGCCCACCCCCATGCCAGAGCCCGTGTACTGCTGGGGGCACCCAGGGCTGCAGATGCGTGGTGATCTTCTCCCAGAAGAGGGCTTAGGTGTTTCCCAAGGCCAGTGGGCCTTGGGCTCCTGGGGTTCTGGGTCCCTGGAGGTGCTCATGTTCAGACACCATTGGGACCTCAATCTTCCTGGCCCAGGATCCTAAGCTGTGAATTGCTGTAAAGTGGAAGATCTGATGGAGGTTGAAGACTCTCCCGCTCCAGGCAACTTCGGCAATGCTGGACGTGAAACCCACAGTTCACAAGAGGCACTCAGCACCCGACACTGTGCCGAGGAGAGGCCCACGGGCCTGTCTGCAGGGCGCCGCTGCGGCTGTGACTTCGGCAGCGGGGTTTGTGCTTCAGACATTGGAAGCCTGTGTGCTGGGCCCTCGGTGGGCATCACTGATCCTTACAAGGGCCTGCAACACAGCCGCATTCCACAGAACGCAGAGCCTCAGCACAGGTGAGCACAGAACTGGGAGGAACCTGCATCATGAGACTCCCACTGCAGCCCTCTTCCCCAAGAGGGACAGAGACAGGGCGTGGGGTGACCAGCAGACATTTAATACTCCCTCTCCAGGACAAAGCAAGCGCTCAGACTAAAGAGGGCTGATAACCACCTGGTCACGGCTGAGGACAGGCTTGGGGAGCCCCTGCCCAACCCCTCTTATTTGATGGCTTATGGTACACATGGCCATTCTGGATACTCACTTCTGGCTTAGGTGCTCATTGGGCTACCTTAACAGACTCTATCACCCTCCACAGTAGATGGAGGTGTCACTGGGCATTACGGGTGTCCCTTTCACATGCACAGGTCCCCTCCTGAGCCACAAGTATCTCACCTGGGACTCCCCAGCACCAGCTCCTGGGGCTGCTGGCTCCCTGCTACCTGTCTTAGTCCATCTGTCCTTTTCCTCCCAGAAACAGGAATGGAGGGAAAAGAAGGTATCTCCCATTCTTGAGAAATCCAGATAGGAGAGTGGACGTCCGTGCTGTGGACATCTGTGCTGTGGACGTCCATGCTGTGGACATTGTGCTGTGGACATCCGTGCTGTGGACATCGTGCTGTGGACATCCGTGCTGTGGACATCATGCTGTGGACGTCCGTGCTGTGGACATCGTGCTGTGGACATCCGTGCTGTGGGCCTCCATGCTGTGGACATTGTGCTGTGGACGTCCGTGCCGTGGACATCGTGCTGTGGACATCATGCTGTGGATATCCGTGCTGTGGACCTCCATGCTGTGGTACCACATACACTCATTTGTCCAGCACTTTGCAATCACTTAGGCTCTGAAGACCAGCCTCACCTTCTGAGCTATTTACAGGGCCTCCAAGGCACCACCTTTGCTCACATATGCCCCGGACCCTGCAAGTCACCCAAGAGGCTCAAACCCAGTGAAGGAGAACAAACAAGAGAACCCAGGGCTGTGGTTACAGCGGAAACACAGGTTTCCCACAGCCACTCTGGGCACTAGATGGCTTATGTCGCCATCTAGTGGCCAGCATGGAGAGATGCATCCTGGGCCAGGTGGCCCATTGAAGGCCCCAGTGATTCTCCACCTCCATCAGACCCTCTGCTGCCATCAGACCCTCCTACGCCATCAGATTCTCTTCCATCAGACCCTCCATCTCCATTAGATCTTCCACTTTACAGTGATTCGCAGCTTGGGATCCTGGGCTAGGAAGATTGAGGTCCTAATGGTGTCTGAACATGAGAACCTCCAGGGACCCAGGACCCCAAGAGCCCAAGGCTCACTGTCCGTGGGGAACCCCTAAGCCCTCTTTCCACATCTCAGAGGTACTCTGAGTTCTCAAGTCTGCAAAGGCCTTCCTTCCCATCCCCCACAGGAAGCAGAGAGTGGCACGAACTTTACACCCAATGTGCTCGGTTTAAATTGCAGCTCCCTTGTGGCCAGCTGTTTGACTTCAGAAAATTGCATACTGTCTCCGTTTTCTCAACTGTGCAGCGAGAACAGTCTTTGTGGAGGGCTTATAATAAGGCTTGTATTGAATGCATCTGCACCTCTCTCACACACTCTCCCCTTCCACAGACAGGAGGGCTTGAGTTGCCCACTCAGTCTGTGAAGAGATCTTCTGGGGAATCTCCATGAATCCCTTCAGGGCCAGGGAATCTCCAAGGCCCTGAAGTCTGGCCTCACAGGTTGTACACTGCACAACCCTGGGGTGACATCTGCACTGGAGAGAAGTGAACAACTTCTACAGACATCCAATGGCCACCCTGGGTCCCCCCTTCCTCCTTCTGTTTCAAAACACTTTAGATTTAATCTCTTAAGCCATGCCCATGGAAACAGTCTAGGATTGGAGGGTTTAAGCTACAAGGAATACGCAAGCTGAGAATACTCTTAAACAGCAGTCATGACACAGCAGCACCCAAAGCCTTCCAGTGAAGAAATGTGAACAGGTGCACAAGACCATATGCATGGACATGCATTCTTCTTAGTTTCTCTCCCTTCCTTCCTCCAGAGGCCTCCCTGGATTTACTGCATGTATTAGAGTTTCCACAGGGGTTTTTCTTCAGGTAGATTGTGAATACTTGAGGGCAAAATCTCTGCCTCATTCTTCTTGTCTTCTTCATATCAGTATATAAACTGGGACTCAAGACACATTCCTTGGTTGAGTGGATGAAGGGATGGATGGATGGTTGGTTGAGTGAATGGTCGGGCGGATGGCTGGGTGAATGGATGGGTGGGTGAATGGATGGGTGGGTGAATGGATGGGTGGTGAAGTGGATGCTTTAGTGGATGGATGGGTGGAGAGGTGGAAGAGTGGGTGGATGCGTGGGTGAGTGGTTGGATGAATGGATGGATGAATGGCTGAGTGAATGGATGGATGGTTGAATAGCTGAACAAATGGTTAGATGGATGAATGGATGGACAGATGGGTGAATGGGTGGATGGGTGGGTGAATGGATGGATGGGTGGGTGAATGGATGGATGGATGGACAGAGGAGCAGATGTGTGGACAGGTGCACAGATGGGTTGATGGGTGGATTAATGGATAAATGGACAGACGAGTGGATGTGTGGATGGGTGGACAGATGTGTGGATGGGTGGGTGAATGGATGGGTAGATGGTTGGATGGCTGGATGGGTGAATGAAGGAACCAGGTCAGGGACATCTCACAGCACAGGTGTAATCATCACTTTCAGCACCTAGCATGGCTCCCATCATCTGATTTCAGTGTCTCCCTCCCCTACAAGACTGTGCTCTGTGAGGGCAGGGCTCTGTTTGCCTCTCTCACCATTTTGCCCAGATCTCAGGGCGTGGAGCCCTGCGAGTGTTCAGGAAGTAATTGTCAAAGAATAGACTTGGATGGGGGAGGTAAGATGAGAGGAAACCACGTTTTCATTATTATAGAAAACACAAATGAACAGACGTGGCATGTGTATTAAGATTACATGAAAGCTGTAGACAAAGTTTGAAAGACAGGGTTTTTAAATATACGCCAATTACTTTATCTGAAATCCAATGAGCCACAAGGTCATGGGGCTCAACACCCAGTTTTACTGAGTATGTCACAGTCTTCCAAGAAAGGCAAGTGAAAGTTCCTCAGCTGACATCAGAGCAGCTGGACATGACTTGGGAAGAGCCAGAGATGTGTTCCTGGCCTCCCCAGAGCGCCGACGCAGCACCGGCCCTCGGTGGAGGCCCAGTGAGCCTGTAATGAGACCATCCCAAATGGCGCATCCAGCACAACCAGCCACACTGCAGTGTCCTACGCAACTGATTCTACGTATCAGAATCTGTGATCCACACGTATTACCCATTGTCTTTCTGTACTGACTCTGAGAATATCCAGTAAATCCAAATATTCCTTTTCCCCAAATGTTCTGTATGAATGACAATTAATTATATTCAACAAAGTTAATATCACGGATTGAAAACTAAGGCCATGTTATAGTTCTAAGTTCGTTGAGGAAAAACACTCTACTTTCAGGTATGAGCTATCTAATACAATTCCAGTTTATTTCAAATAAAGTACAAAGCATTATCACTCAGGATGGTATGATGGAGAAAATGCTAGACTAAAATGCTTATATTTTAGAACGATTTTCTTGCTAATTCATTCTGTGACCTCAATTAAGTAACTCATTGTCTCCTCTGGTTTCTCATTACGTAATGGGTAAATCACACCTCCTGTGGTCAGCTTATGTGAAAACAAATGGCTGTGAAAATGCTTAGAAAAATGTAGAGTGATGTGTACATGTTATTTCTACCACTAAAGAGATTGTCATATTAATGGGGTGCCTTTTGAGTCGCTGCTGTGTAAATAAAAGCAATACCTTAGTACACAGGAGAAAGCTTGATGAGCATAAACATCCACCAAAAATAACCTCAGCAGTATATTTCTAAGGCTGACCTATTTTTAAAAGAGCATTAAGAGCACTGCCAGGTCTCTCTGAGAATGTGGAATATTCTATATTTGCCGAAGAGTGATGGATGTGAAGGGAGAGCAAGCCCAGGAGGGTTCCGTGGGCTGCTGTGGAGGGTCACAGGTCTGGGAGGTCTGGGCTGTGGGGGCCGTGTGGGTGGTGGTAGAGCCGGGGCACCCCCAGCACTGCCCCCATCTCCCATAGCCCCTTCATCTGCCTGTGAGGTGTGGCTCCTCTGGGACCCACAGGACAGCCTGCCTCTCGGGGGAAGACGATGGCTGCTGTCATCTTCTCTGGGCTCACTCAGGCGCTGGCAGTGCAGACCCATCAGAGCAGACTCCCATTAAGGCTTGAAGAGTTAAGAACCGAGGGATGGATGGAGATGCAGAGAGACACTGGGGGTCCCGGGGGAGCCCGGCAGGGAAGCTCCAAGGTTCTGGAGGCAGGTTGACTCACGGCGACCTGCTGGAGGAAGAGGTCACCCGGGTCAGCTTGCAGGGAGG